AAAAAAAAAAAAGAAATGTTTTTTGACATTTTGAGACTTTTAGTCCCTGCCAACTCCCCATTCAGCAAACAACACTTGAAAGGGTATTTATGCTAACACAGGCCAAATTCACTACTCATATTGATCTTACTGTATTCTTTGTACAACCGTGCTGTTCATATTGCTCTCTGTAATCATGTCTAATTTGCTGCCCTTTGATTTTCATCGACTTTGGGTTTTGTAATGCATAAAAATAATAATAGCAGAAATCTCAGTACTTTTCTCTGATGCTGGTTAAAAAAATCTGGAATATATTGTTATCTAAAATTTATTAAGTGATTTCTTATGTATAAAGTAACAAATTGAAAAAGTTAGTGTATTGAGATTAAGGACAACATTCTTTCCATTCTTTATGGATTAATATATTAATACATACATTTTTAAATATATAAATACATGTCTGCTTAGACAGTTGTGACAAAATGCCATTTAGACAGAGAGATAGAGACTTTGACTTTCTTATATTAATGCTTAGATTTCAAGATATTTTCAGATGAAGAATAACAAAAATTATGTAGCAATACTTCCTAAATTAATAAAAATTTGTATTAGTAACACTTAGCACATCATTAATACATATTAATTTTCATTTGAACACATAAAAATATGACCAAAGGCTAGCTTTAGCATGCAACTAATTTTATGGGAATGACCAACAAAAATAATATATATTTTCTTCTTCTGCTAAAATCCTTCTTTGAAATATCATTAATTTTTTTCCCTGACTCAACCTGAATACCATTCATCTAAATTATTTCTGTCATGGCTAATGATTTGTTCCAACCAATGTCTTCAGGCCTCTCTCTGAAAGACTACAATGCTATCACCACCTCACCACCCCCCACTAGGCCTGCCCCAAGTGCTCACCTGTTGTGTTCTCTTGTAAGCCAACATCAAAGGCCAGTTTATCTGTGGAAGACCGGGATGTGGACAAGCAGCAGAGATACTAAAAAACAAAATGAGTTTTTGTCATTAAATGTTTGCAGTCATATCTCTATCTTGTTCTGCACATAATTTACCTATATAATCTATCTCGGCTGTATCAGTCTTTTTCTCCAAAATCAGAAACTTTCGTGCAGTGCCCAGGTTCCTATGTGTCTGAGAAAGTGAATGGCATTTGCAAAGCATTCATCAGGAGTGATTTTCTAAACGCAATGTGGTATTTTTCTTCTCATCAAAAGCTAAAGTAATGTGTTCCAGTATGAAAAAAAGACAAGTTGCTGGGGATGTGTTTGTACATCTGTAACTTCATGTAACATTTATGATCAAAAGAAAAGCACAGCCTGATATGAAAGTTAGAAATACTTGTACTGGCTTACAAGTATTCCCTGTCATCATGCACTTTTGTTTTCATTTTTAAAATGTAACACTTGGAAATCCATCCAGAACTGACTTTGGCATATCCCAAACCACAGTACAGTGAGTTTTCTCATGTGCAAGTATGTGTATGCGTCCTAAGAAAGCAAACTCCCATAGCACCATTGTTCTCCCTTTCCTCAATTTTTCTCCTTGGTTTTTCTTAACTGCATATTCTTTGACATAAAGATTGGAATTATCTTCAGGGCAAGTCTTCAACCCTCACTTCAACCTTAAAAGCCTTGTTGTGGGTATTAATAATTTAGATACAACAGGACTGACAGTTCCGGGGGGACACGGGAGAGGAAGAGGTGGGGGGAAAGGAAGTGGTATTAACAAACTCAGGGACAAGGGAACAACAAGTGATCCAAATTGGTGGTGGGTGAGTGTGGGAGGTCTGGTAGGGCATAATCAAGGGTAATGTAACCAAGAGTAACTGCTGAAACCCTGGTGGAGACTGAGCATGACAGTGGGACAGGAGGAAAGTCAAGGGAAATA